TTATATTGGGTGTTGTGAGTTCAAGTATGAGAGGAAAGGATTAATGTGAGAGGGGTCGTCAAAGAGTAAAAAAGTATCATCCATATAACGGCGATATAAAATAGGTTTGAAATTAGCAGGGCAGTCATTCATCCATGTTTGTTCATGATGGCAAAGGAAAGTATTGGCATAACAAGGGCCAAGTGGTGATCCCATTGCTACACCGTCTACCTGTGTGTAAATAGAGCCATTGAAGGTAAACACTGAGTTGTGTGCGGCTATGTCCAATAATTTCCTGTGTGTCGTCTTGTTCAGGCCATACGAGTTTAAGAGTGAGGAGGTTGTTTTGTTTAAAATTATGTCAGTGGTTTCACTGAGGGGAACATTAGTGAATAACGACTCTATATCAAAACTGGCCATTGTGACAGGCCGTAGTGGTTTAAGGTCACTAATTTCTTTGATGAAAGAGAAGGAGTTTTCTATGGTATATTCATTGGTGGTTAGAGGGGTTATTAATTGAACTAAGAATTTTGCAACATTGTAATTGAAAGTACCAATGGCAGAGATGATGGGGCGTAGAGGCTGACCAATTTTATGAATTTTAGGAAGGCCATATAAGCGACCAGGTTTTGAGCCAGATATAGTCAGGAGGTTATAAGTCATTTCTCCGATAGATGTTCTTATCGAGCGTAAGAGCCTGTTTAGTTTATCTTCTAATTTCAGTAGATGAGTGGCAGTGTCAGACATGATTGGTTTAAATTTGGAGGAATCACTAAGTATCGTGTTTAGTTTACTAAAATAGTCATCTCTGTTTAGGATAACAACTCCACGTCCCTTATCTGGCTTTGTGATAACAATATTGTTATCATCTCTTAGAGTTGTTAGGGGTGTAAGGGAGGGATATGGAGTATGAATACTCTTGACATGACATTTGAATTTCTTGTAAGTATCGTGTGCCACAGTAGAAATGCTGTTGGTGATATGATTCCATCTATTTTTGTAAATCTCACAGTTTTTGATGGTGTGACATAGTTTTTCAAAACAAAGAAAGAACTGGTTATGGGGAATGGTACTGGGTGGTATACAATAATCGAAACCTAAAGAAAGGACTTCTTTTTGTTCATCTGATAATATCCGATCAGAAAAGTTGAAAATAACCTTATTCTTGTCCACTTTTTTGTTTAGGTCAATTCCTAGCTTAGTTAATTTCTTATTGTGTCTGAAATCAACATTACATAATTTCTTTTCCATATTTCGTTCATTGAGGGATAATAAACATTTGGAATCGAAATAGGAAATACAGGAAGTGAGGAGAGTGGTGTCATCCTCCAGTTTCTTTTTGATGGTAGGGATCTTTTTCTTTTGCTTATCTATTTCCCAGTCCAAAAGATCGAAGCACCAAGAACGATATGTCCTGGTAGTTTGGAATGTGGGACAATACACTCTAAATTTAATAAAATCTGGTATGGTTCCGTAACATTTACAGATCTCTAGGAAATTTAAGTCTTTTTCTACTTTCTTGGAGCGGAAAGAATTCCTTTCAATTTTCCTGTAGAGGTCCAGAGTATTCTTGCCGTATTTCTTCAGTATATAATGGGTTATAGATGAGTCCCATGGGAATCGAATTCTTATTAGGAAGAAGAAAACCAACACGGCTGAGAAGAACTTCATTATTGCAATTGCATACGTTTCGGAGATGCAATCTCCATCATCAGTGCTATAACAAAAAAACAACAAAAATTAATTTAAAAATACAAAAAATTATAATACAAAACATACAAACAATATAATAGAAAAACAATATCAAAAGATCGTAAAAACAAGTTGGTGAGCAGTAACAGGTACTAACCAAGCTATGGGTTCTTTTGATAGTTTATATGGTAAACAGGGTGGTTGCAGTGGCAGTGTTGTTAAGCTCTGGTTTCATTGTTTGGATGTGGAGTGACTCGGCTATGATGAGGTCAAATCTGTTTAGATGGGAGGTCAAGATTTTGAAATCAGTATTGCTGAAAGGGTGATTGTGGAGGTGAGAATGCTCTCTGATTGCTGAGAAGGATGGTTTACTCAGTTGCAGGCCTGTCCTGATGGACTTGCCTTTGTGTTCGAGAATGCGGTGGCGGAGCCATCGTGAGGTGGATCCCACATACCTAGCCTGACAGCTAGGACAAGTAAACAGGTAAACCACATTCGAACATAGTTCAGAGTTACACATCTCTTTATTCTTTAAGAAATTACCAACGGTGTTATTATTGTAAAAAACGAATCGAAAACTGATCTGAGGATAGCATCGCCTGAGAATTTTGTTTAATGATTTTCTGAGATCAAAACTAAGACCGCCCATATATGGGAGTTTTATATATTTAATGTCTTTGTTAACTGTAGCAGATGCAGGTTTAGGGTTGAATTTCTGACTTAGAAATTTGCGTAGGGCTTTATAAAATAGGTAAGATGGATACCCATTTGTAGTAAAATATTTACTTAAGAATGAAGCTTCGTCATGGAAACTAGCCCAAGTTGAACAAATGTTATAAGCTCGGTTGATAAGTGTTGTGAGGCTGTTTAACTTGTAAATATGAGGAATGTAGCTGAGGTAATGAAGCCCAAGGCGAGTAAATGTGGGTTTCCTGTAGGTACTGGTGTAGAAACAATTGTTATGAAATTACCTCAGCTACATTCCTCATATTTACAAGTTAAACAGCCTCACAACACTTATCAACCGAGCTTTTAACATTTGTTCAACTTGGGCTAGTTTCCATGACGAAGCTTCATTCTTAAGTAGATATTTTACTACAAATGGGTATCCATCTTGCCTATTTTATAAAGCCCTACGCAAATTTCTAAGTCAGAAATTCAACCCTAAACCTGCATCTGCTACAGTTAACAAAGACATTAAATATATAAAACTCCCATATATGGGCGGTCTTAGTTTTGATCTCAGAAAATCATTAAACAAAATTCTCAGGCGATGCTATCCTCAGATCAGTTTTCGATTCGTTTTTTACAATAATAACACCGTTGGTAATTTCTTAAAGAATAAAGAGATGTGTAACTCTGAACTATGTTCGAATGTGGTTTACCTGTTTACTTGTCCAAGCTGTCAGGCTAGGTATGTGGGATCCACCTCACGATGGCTCCGCCACCGCATTCTCGAACACAAAGGCAAGTCCATCAGGACAGGCCTGCAACTGAGTAAACCATCCTTCTCAGCAATCAGAGAGCATTCTCACCTCCACAATCACCCTTTCAGCAATACTGATTTCAAAATCTTGACCTCCCATCTAAACAGATTTGACCTCATCATAGCCGAGTCACTCCACATCCAAACAATGAAACCAGAGCTTAACAACACTGCCACTGCAACCACCCTGTTTACCATATAAACTATCAAAAGAACCCATAGCTTGGTTAGTACCTGTTACTGCTCACCAACTTGTTTTTACGATCTACTGCTCA